AATCATTGTCCATGTAATACATTGTTTAGGTAACATGCAAAACAAAAGAACTGAGAAACAGAGGCACTCGTTTATGTGCGCAAAATCTATCAAACAGTTCAATAGTCAATGACTTCAATGGAAACATCCATATCCCTAAAGCAAGACCAATGCTAACCTAAGTTAAATGCTATATAATCCATATTCAAACACACATAAGAGTCATGGACACATCAATTAAGAGGACGAACAAGCTCAAAAAACGGGCTGCCAGCCTCCCACAGCACCTGATTGATCGAATGAAAACATGTCCCGAGGATGCTAAAAGAGCTACATCAACAGAAACTTGAATTTTCTATCCCAGCTTTTGTTCCATTCAACTGTCTTCTAAAGCAAGTATATCAACCTGGTAACGATACGTCAAACCGAACAACAACACAAGTAATGTTATCAGCGCTCCCTCGTGCATAAGCTTCATATACAAGTTTCCTTGATGCATCTTCTGCATTTGTTATGTCCTGAATTATGGCCACGGCATCCTGAAAGATAGTAATCCTTTCAGAAACTTAGATTTAAAACAAGCTGCTTCCAACTAATGACATAAGATTGTAACAGGGAATAATAAAATATCACGAAAAAAACATTTGACCAAAAGAATTTAATGCAGAAACACTTGGTATCTTAGTTAGTCTTTCAGCATAAGCTTATAGCAACAATGAAGGGTTAAAGACACTCACATTATTTGATATGACATTCCAGAGCCCATCACTTGCAATGATTATAAAATCAACACCATCAATCTCTTCTTCCTGAAAGCAACAGACAGGCAAAGATTACTGGGGCAATGAGTTTAGAAATTAAATGAGTTCCCTTGCTTAAAAACAAGGATAACACTTTAGGTGTGTATATGTAAGCCATATAGTACCTGAATTTCAGGCTCTGCAACAACATATGGTTTAAGTAGTTTATCACCAAAGGCACGAGAAACAGCAAGAACACCACCAACACGCCATGTCCCTGACACAGTAAGCAACTAGTTAGGAAAAACTATATAAGCAGTGGTATGATGATATGACAGATTAGCAAGCTTCAATTCAATTTTACAGTAGTAGTGGTCCGCAGGAACAAAGATCAGTGTAATGACTGTGTGACACTGTTACAAGTCAAACTAAAATCTCAAGCTACGTAGCATTTAATATCATTACAAAAAAGAATAAAAGGCAATTAACCAAACTCCACTTTGTTTGTGTATAAACTATCATGAAATGCAGTCTAATGAAAAAGATGCAAGCATGAATAACTGCAGGTATGGAGATATACCTGCCCAAATGATGAAACCTCCAGCGTCTTCAATCCTTTGGTGTTCATCAGATCTATCAGGTTTGTGATCAACAGATAGTGGGATAGCTACAATGAATCACAATAACAATCACCCAATTAAGGACTAAAAGAATTTTAGGAATTGGTGATATGTTGGTAGTCTAGATATTATATAAACTGAAATCATGAATTCTTTTCTGAAAAAAAGCAAACCAATACCAATAGCTGATGACTATGAATTTAGGTATTGGTGACATGTTGTTAGTCTATATATTCCTTTCAAATTTGAAAATTTGAATTTAACTGTTATAACTTTTTGTCTAATGAACTTAATAACTCTCATCCTTATCAGAGAAGGCAATAACCTGATCCTGCTCTGCATGCAACGACTCTCGAATCACCAACATTTGCAACTAGGAGCCTGTTTCCTAACAGTAAAGCAGTTGAGGCAGTTGAGCCAGCATCTTTCTCTTGGCCTTTCTCTTCCTCAAGGTAATCCGCATCAGTTTGTCTAAATGCTTCAACTGCAATAAGAAAACTGTCCTCAATAATCCAAGATAAGGAACAAACCCATTGATGGCATTATTATAGAAATAAGAAAACATTTAAGCATTTCAACGTATACATACATATCTAAATAAAATCATGGAATTACAAACACGTGAAAACTTCATCAATTTCATACCAATGGCTGTTTTTGTGTCCTTGATAAGACCTGGGTGGCAACTTAAATTCTTGAAAAGGTTGCTTTTAAGATATTCTGCAGTTCTTGAACCTCCATGACCTGAATTGAAAGATAAAAAATATCAATTAATAAATAGAAATAAGAAAAGGATAAGAAGCTCTACGCACAATTAGACCACCATGTCTGATTTACCCGTAAAGACTAAAGATAACATGTATCAATGGAAGACTAAACAAAGCATCATCAGCTGGGGGTTTGCAGTGAAAACAATGATGCAGTGACAATGAATAATAAGATATGTTAATAACAGCTTAGATATTAGAAAAGTACCATCAAAAACACCAAAAAAGGCAACCATCTGACCATCAACTTCAGATATCCTTGTCTCATAGAAATCTTCCATTGAAGCCCTTTTACCCTTGGAACTGGAATATCCATAGCTGAAATTAACAGTTCGACTTCCAGTGATAAAGCTGGCCAAAAAGAAAAACTTTTCAGTCACTCACTCACTTTTGAGTACTGACTTTTCATCTGTGCTATCATTTTAAATTTATGAAGATACTGCTTCCACAAGTATGCAGACAGATACACATAGCTTTAGACTTCACCAAAATATGGCCATCTTACATACAAACTCTTTTTATGGTACATATTATCCTTCTCTTTTGAGAAAAAGGGGATGCATAAATAGTATCAGATTGATTCCATATTTCCATTTTCATTTCCTCTAATGGTATTCAACATTTTATATAAGCCAATAAGAACATGTTTCGCAAGGATGAATAATATGAATTCCACAGAGAGTTATAAATATTCTCTCCCCCAATATGAAAAAGAGTAAAAACACTAACCAAGTTACCCTCTATAACAACAACCAACAACAGCTTAGGTGTAAATTTCTTAAAGGAGATAACTGCAAGCTTATTTGGATTTTTAAAGAGAACTGGTGTGAAGTGTATCTTTAGACCAAACCTCAAGGGTTTTTGACATTTTGCTTATTTAAATGAGAGTGAATCAGCCACACCTAGTTCCTTGGGGAAATGTGAAGAACATTACAAACTCCTTAAAATGTACATAGGCATATTGGGAAAATAAAAACAAATTTGAAACCTAGTACATATTGTATCTGATCAACCCAAAGGCATGCTTTGCTCAATCAAACTGAATCCAGTTCACCAACTTTGCAACTGAACTCACAACCATTTCAGACCATGGACAGCCTAGTTCCTATGGGGTTTGATCCAAGCATCTGAGAACTAAAGGCTTTAAAAAACTCAAAGAGGTTTTATAAATAATTGATAGTATTTGTAATGAACATGAATCAGGTGCACCAAGGTGAAAGTAACACTACAAAAACCTAACAAAGTATGCATGCATATTGGGAGAGAAAAAGAAAATGAACTTTGAAACCTAGATCATATTTTATCGGTCGAACTCGAAAGCATTACATGGAGCAGAGGACAATCATGCTTTGCTTGATTAGTTTGCAACTCTAGGACTTAAAGGCATTTCAGGCCACAAAAAGCTTGATTGCTCAGGAGAGAATCCAAAATTTATACCAAAAATAACTTTAATCCACGCATCTGAAAACTATAAACAATCAACATATAATAGAGATGGAGAGCAGTGAAGGGCAAGCCCCGGATAAATCTGTATAATTTAAATCACATGGTAAAAATCGTTTTTTTACACAACAACATTATAGCCACCATGGAGCAATGATGCATAATCCTTTAAACGTGGTTGTACATCCATTAACTATAAATTTTCAATTCTCAGATGCTGAACTGCGCAGTCCACTCACTAGAATGAACATATGTTGTGAATAACATACACGGATACTCCTCCATATCCTTAATACTAACTTCAATGAAAATCAAGAAAGCAAACAACTTTATGTCTATTTGCTTGCTACGAGTTCTACCCATCAACAAGCAAACAAGGTGAACCCCATGAAAAACAGAAACCATTAAAGTAAGAGACCAAATATATGAATGTTGAAAGTTGATGAGGGGCAAACCTGATGCCACCACCGCTGAAGACGGGGTCAGGATCACTAGAAGAGATCATAGTATCCGGCTGAAGTGGGGCGGCGTCGGCCTCAGCATCAGCGTCCCCAATGGGGAGAGCGGCGGAGGTGGCCGTGGCTGAGTCGTCCGTGAGATGAGTGGGTATCTTTTTTATGATGCTGAAATAGAGACCAAGAGAAAACACAATCCAAGTGTCGAAAACAATCAATTAACATAATTTCATGTTTAGAACAGCAAATGGGTAGATAGACAGGTGGATGCTTCCTCCCTTCGAAGTCCAATCATGGAGGACCCCATTCACGTGGGTTCATCTTGATTCTTTAATGAGGCTTTTGACTTCGGGAATTCTTTTTTTTTTTTTTTTTTTTTTTAACAATTAATAATTATTTACGGAGTTAATCGGAAAGAAGGTGAAGTGAAGTTCGGTTTATAACTCATAAAGATAAACAGTTTTAACTCAGAATCCGATAACAAT